TTTTAAAGATCTTGATGATTTGGCTCATGCTGCTTCAGTACTCCAGTTGAGCAATCCAGGTGGCTTATTGTTTGGTGTTTTCCTGTAGGTACATGTTAAGATGAAAGTTAAACCCAATAAAATAGGCCCCGGTGTGGTGGTTTGAGTCTTTCAGGTTTCAGTTATATTAAAACACATTTTATGTATTTATAGGAAATTTGTATTGCAAAACACAATGAAAAGTTCCAACAACGCCTTCGGAGTGAAGATGAATACAGAGCCCATCACACAGTACAACTAGTAAGTTTGGACTCAGAGAATTAGAACAAAACTGGTTTTTTACCTGTCTCAAAGTGGATAAAATTTATAGAGAATAAGAAAATGTAAACAACTAGATATTAGCATTAATTCCATATATATGTATGTTTGCAGTTCAATACGTATGCATATACACACACATTAAGAGCAGTTTGAGACATACTGAGCAGAAGATAATAGACAGTTCCCATATACCTCCACACACTCACAGCTTCCCCTACCAAGCAAAGAGTAGTACATTTGTTACAGTCAGTGGACCAACACTGATACATCATTATCACCTAACGTCCATAGTTTACATTAGAGTTCATTCTTGGTGCTATTGTTGTTTTTGACCAACGTATAACGATATGAATCCACCATCATAATATCATACAAAATATTTTTTACTGCCCTCAAAATGTCCTGTGTTCCATCTATTCATCTCCCTTTCTCTTCAAACCCCTGGCAACCGCCGATCTTTTTTACTGTTTCCACAGTTTTGCCTTCTCCAGAATGTTTAATTGGAATCCTACAATATGTAGCCTTTTTAGATTTGTTTACCTTAGTACTGTGCTTTTAAGATTCCTCCATGCATTTTCATAGCTTGATAGCTCATTTCTTCTTAGCACCGAATAGTAACCCATTGTCTGGATAACCACACTTTATTTTTAAAATTTGTCTTATGTAGGCTCCACACTCAGTGTGGAGCTTGAACTCAAAACCTCGAGATGAAGAGGCGCAGGCTCTATTAACTGAACCAACCAGGTGCCCCGGTACCATAGTTTATCAATTGACCTACTGAGACATGTTGGTTGTTCCCAAGGTTTGGCAGTGATGAATAAAGTTGCTGTAAACATTGATACAGGTTTTTGTGTGCACATAAGTTTTCATCTCTTGGGTAAATCCTGAGGAGCAGTACTTGCTGGATCATAATGTAAGAGTTTATTTAATTTTGTGGGAAACTGCCGAACTGTCTTGCAGAGTGGCTGTACTGTTTTGCATTGCCACCAGCAGTGGACGAGAGGGTTCCTGTTGCTCCACATCCCTACCAGCATTTGGTGTTGTCAGTGTTTTGTATTTTAGCCCTTAATAGGCATGTGGTACGTGATGGTTATTTTAGTTTGCAATTTCCTAGTGGCATGTGATAATGAGTATCTTTTCATAATGCTTTTTTTGTCATCCATCTGCTTTGCTGAGGTTATGTCCAGATCTTTTGCTCAATTTTTAATTAGGTTGTTTTCTTATTACTGAGTTTTAAGAATTCTTTGTGTATTCTGGACTTTGCAAGTATTTTTTCCCCTATTTCTGGCTTGTGTTTTCATTCCCTTGAAAACATATCTTGCAGAATAGAACTTTTTAATTTTAACGTTAATGAAGTCCAACTTGTCAGTTATTTCTTTCATGAGTTGTACTTTTGGCGCTGTATCTAAAAACTCCTCACCAAAACCAAGGTCATTTATATTTTCTCCTGGGTTATGTTGCTGGAGCTTTATAGTTCTGCATTTTACATTCAGGTCTGTGATCTGTTTTGAGTTAATGTACATGAAGAGTGTAAGGTCTGTGGCTAATTTTTTTTTTTTTTTTTTTGTGGATGTCTAGTAGTTCCAACACCATTTGTTTAAAAAGCTGTTACTTCTCTTCATTGGATTGCCTTTGCTCCTTTGTTAAAGATCAGTTGATTGAATGTGTTTGGATCTCTTGTGCTCTGTGTTCTCTCATCTAAGTCTTTTGCCTCTCCAAAGAAACCTTACAATCAGCTTGTCAGTCTCCACAAAATAAGCGACTGAGATTTTGATTAGGATTATGTCAGATCTGTAGGTCAAGTTTGGGAATAATTGACACCTTAACAATATTGAGTCTTCCTATGTGTAAACAAGGAATAGCTCCCCATTTATTATATTTTACTAGATTTATACCTAAACTATTAGATTTATGCCTAAATCTTTTTTTTATGGTAATACAAATAGTTTTTAATATCAAACTCTAGTAGATGTTCCTTGCTAGTATATTAGAAAGCAGCTGACTTTTATATGGCGGGGGGGGGGGGGGGGGGGGGGGGGGTAGGAATCCCAAGCAGGCTCTGAACGACAGCGTAGAGCCCGATGTGGGTCTTGAACTCACGAACCATCAGATCATGACCTGAACCAAAGTTGGATGCTCAACCGACTGAGCCACCAAGGCGCCCCAGGGTATTTCTATTTTTAGTTTCTTGAGGAATCTCCTTATTATTTTCCATAGTGGCTCTACCATTTTACATTCCCACTAACAGTGTATGAGGGTTCCTTTTATCCACATCCTTGCCACCACTTGTTACTTCTTTTTGATTCTAGCCATTCTGACAGGTGTGAGGTGATATGTCATTTTGGTACTCATTTGTATTTCCTTGATGATTAGTGATAATTACTGACATTGAGCATGTTTTCATGTGTCTTTTGGCCGTTTGCATGTCCTCTGCCCATTTTTAAAGCAGATTATTATTTTCCTTGCTATTCTTTATATAGTTTGGACATTAACTCCTTATTGGACATATCATTTGCAAATATATTCTTCGATTCAATAGGATGCCTCTTTGTTCTGTTGATGGTTTTGCCAGAACTTTTTATATTGGTGTAGCCCCAATAGTTGATTTTTGCTTTTGTTTCCTTTGCCTTAGGAGACCTATCTAGAAAATGTTGCTAAGACCAATGTTTAAGAGATTACTGCTTGTGCTTTCTTCTAGGAACTATCCTCCTTTTCACCACCTCCTCCTCCAGTAGGGTCAGTTTCTTCCTTGGTGCTTGACAGCTAACCCTCTCTGCTTAACATGCCTGCCACTTACCTCACCACCACTTACTCATTCCTGCTTCTCTCCTAGGGCTTAATATAGGGCCTGGCTGACACGTAATTGGTAAGCATTTCATGGAAGAATGGCATTTCCTTATCTTAAGCAGCTTTTCCCCTACCATTTTACTCTCTTGGGTGGTATATTTTTAAATATTTATTTTGAGAGAGAGAGTGTAAGTAGGGGAGGGGCTGAGAGAGAGGGAGAGAGAATCCCAAGGAGGTTTGCACTGTCAACACAGAGCCCGGCCGGGTACAGGGCTTGATCCCACGAACCATGAGTTCATGGCCTGAGCCAAAATCAAGAGTTGTACACTTAACTGACGGAGGGACCCAGGTGCCCCTCTCTTAGATGGTATTTTACATGCTATCTTTTTTACTCTGTGAATTGGTAAAGTTTTCTTGCTTTTTAGTTAATATTTTGTAATACTGTCCTATTATCTAAGCAAGGTGAATTTTTTCCTGAGTAATTATCTTGCTGTGTGTATGTGTGTATATGTGTGTGTGTGTGTGTGTGTGTGTGTGTGTGTATATGTATGTATGTATGTATATATATATGTAAACATTCTAAATTTCTTGACTCTTTAAAAATCCTTCTATTATGAGTAGTTTTAATTACTGGCTTGCAAAAGTGCTTCTCTACCATTCCTATACGTTTTTAAAAAGAAACCTCATTGTGTTTATAAAGAGATATGCATCATCATTATAAAAGATTAAAGCAATACAGGAAAATGTGAAAAAAAATCAATACCAAAATAGATTATCACAACTTTTCTATTCCTGACTTTATTTTGATTTTTCTTGGAGTTAGTTAACGTTCATGAAGGTACTACTTCCGGAACGTTTCATGGTCCTCATACTGTGTTTTGGCATATTTTGGGAATGCTTGTCCATTTCCTTTCTAAGTCAGAAACAGTTTGTCTAGGTCACAGTGCCATATTTTCTGTCAAACTTCTGGAGACATTGAATGTTGTTGCTGTCGAGAGGCGTGAGGTCTCCCTTCCCTCAACCCATTTTCTGCCTGAATATTCAGTCTTTGTTTATTGTGAAAGTCCAGTGACTTTACCAGGTGATGAGTGTGCAACAGAGTTTTCTGAAACAGGATGTTCACTTTGTGCCTGAAGATTCAAGTCACCCTGTAGATTCCGATGTGGTCATCCACGACAAATGAAGCAGTAACTCTGACTAGAGGAGCTGGTGGGGAAGAAGAGAGGTAGTAATGTAAGGGAATAATGGAAGATTGAATTTGAACAGGATGAATGGAAGAGAGACAAGTTAATGACACACTGGAGACCACTGTCCTGTGCACACAACATTAACTGGTCTTGTAGGAGGTATCTCTAAGTTTTTAAAACAAAGTAGGAATGAAAGCCATAACCTATCTGCATAGCTCGATAGCCTTTTAATATTCTGCAAAATGAGATGTAATTAGATATCTTTTCATTGTTTGAACAGTATAGAGAATTTTTTTTTATTCCAGTATAGTTAATATACACCGTTCTATTTGTTTCCGGTGTACAGTATAGTGATTCACCAATTCTTTACGTTACTCACTGCTCGTCGTGATAAATGAAATGTACTCTTAATCCCCTTCACCTATTTCATCTGCTCCCCCCACCTGCTCTGATAACCATCTGTTTGTTCTCTGTAGTTAAGAGTCTGTTTCTTGATTTGTGTTTTTTCCTTTGCTCATTTTTTAAATTCCTTCAACTCCACAGATGAGTGAAATCATATGATACTTGTCTTTTTGTGATTTTTTTTCACTTTGTATTATACTCTGTAGCTTCATCCATGTTGCTGCAGATGGCAAATTTTCATTATTTTTGTGGCTGAGTAACATTCCATTCCATGTATATATACCACACCTTCTTTATCCATTAATGGACACTTGGGCTGCTTCCATAATGTGGCCATTGTAAATAATGGTGCAATAAATATAGGGGTGTGTATCTCTTTTTGAGTTAGTGTTTTTGTATTCTTTGGTTAAATACCCAGCAGTGGAATTACTTACTAGACAATACAGTAGTTCTATTTTTATTAATTTTTTTTCTTTTTTTTTTTTTTAGAAAGAGAAAATGCACAAGTGGTGTAGAGGAGCAGAGGGAGGGACACAGAATCTTAAGCAGGCTCCACTCTCAGTGTGGAACTCAATGCAGGGCTTGATCCCACAACTCTGGGATCATGATCTGAACTGAAACTGAGTCGGGTGGCTCCCTGGACTGAGCCACTCAGGAGTCTCTGCTTTTAATTTTTTGAGGTGCCTCCATACTGTTTTCCACAGTTGCTGCACTGGTTAGCATTAACATGGGAAAAAATTTTACATTTCTGTGCTGATAACTCCCAACTTTAAGGGGTGATATTGAGCCAAATGATTCATGTAAAATGCAAGAAATACTTTTTCTAGCTGCTGGTTATGTTGGTTGAACTAAGGTGCAGTGTCTAAATTACTGGCCAGGTGGTTGCTGATTTTGTTTTTAAGGTCAACTATTTAATTTAGCAGAATATAGCAGCTACAGGTATTTTACACTTAAGCTGTTGAAGCCACAACCCTACAGGAACATTTTTTAGTTCAGAGAAAATTTGACTTTATTTCAGCGCAAACATCTTTAATTGTGGGTAAATGCAAAAATGAAACAGTATTGTTTTTGTCAGCGTATCATTCTGGATTTTAAAATCATGATTTCTATTTAAAACTGGTAGTTTCATGCCATAAACACTGTTTAATGAATCATTCATTGGAGTTACCCATTTTACTTAACTGGGAGGGCTCTCTTTTTTTCCCTATTAATAATAAAAATGAATGGGACACATCATAATGGAATTACTATTAATTTTTTATCAGAAGAGAGAAAAATTACATGATGAAGAAGAAAGAAAAAGTGCCTGGGTTAGCCAAGAGAGACAAAGAACTTTGGACAGACTTCGAACTTTTAAACAGGTAATAAAAGTATGGCCCATCTGTTGTTTTTCATTGCTTTTTAAGCAGAGCTGCATACACACTCGTGTTACAAGATTATGATAAAAACTTGGTTTTCCCTTTTATTATTTAGAAAATAAAATTTTAAATTAACGTTTGATTACAGGGCTACCCTTCTTCCAGTTGTATCTGGAATTAATATTCTTGTGCTGTTGGCCTTCCACTTTAGTAGTGTAAGAGGAGTGGTCAGGGCCTCTGGCAAACCTGAATTCTTCTTGAGTTTTATAAAATTAACAGGCTCACAAGTGACTGTCCATTTTAGGCATGAACTTGTCACCAGAACACATTCAGTAACCTTACGGTGGTAATCTGTGGGAGGGACCAGTGGCAGAATTAGAGAATGGATCAGCTTACGTCAGAAATGGTTTGGCAGTTGTCATAAGTGCTCAGGAATCTACTTCCATTGTCTGTGCCGAGGGATCACCTTATAGGTGCAGGAAGCTTTTGATGAAATTCTCTTAGTATTATAGTGAAGAGAGTATATGGTGGTTGTGGACCACCCTGTGTTGAGTAAATGTTGTTCACCAAATCCATTAATGCTAGGTTTTATTATAATAAAAGAATGAGATTTATGTATGTCAGTACTTGAAAAATTTTATTCCCTCTCCTTCCATCATAAAATGTACATACTGTTTTGAGAGTTTTTTTAAATGCCAAGAAACTTTTTAAAAAGATTAATGTTTTAATCTGTAAGCATTTGAAAATACATGTAAGAAACTAATAGTTCCATAGCTTAGTATATACCAATGGCATGTATTAAAACCATTTTTTTAATGTTTAATGTTGAGTGAGAGTGCAGATGGGGGAGGGAAAGAGAGAGAGAGGGAGACACACAGTCAAAGCAGACTTCAGGCCCTGAGCTGTCAGCACAGAGCCTGGCATGGGGCTGAAACTCACAGACCACGAGATCATGGCCTGAGCCAAAGTTGGACGCTTAACCAACTGGGCCACCCAGGCGCCCCAATAGCATTGATGTTTGATATTTTATATTGCTATTATTTTTCCACTTAAGCTAGTAATTTCAGTAATTAAAGATCTTTTTTAAATCCTGTGGTAATTTTGAATAGTTGACTTCTTAAGTGGATAAGAGGGAATAGGGCCTTGATAAAAGATTTGATAAGCAAATAGAGTTGGATGACGGCTGTTGAAAGGGATTATGCTTTGGTATTCTGGTCTTCCGTATAACTGTATCAAAGAATTTCCCCCTGAAATCACAACAGCTCCGAAACAACATCTTGGACCTGAAGGAGAAAATAGCCATCAGTTCATAGATTGTTGTAAACTAATTTGACCAGTTACAATCACTTCTACTTTTTTAGAGGTACCCTGGCCAAGTCATACTTAAATCAACCAGATTGCGACTGGCTCATGCAAGAAGAAGAAGCACAGCCAGTCCTGTGCCCTGTGAGGACCAGTGTGACTCTCTGCCAGGAGCACTACAGGTAGAAGAGAAAAGTGCAAAGGCAGAGGAAGGAATAGGCGAGCTTGGGTCATCACACAAAACAGAAGCCCAAAGCCTCGCACACCTTGAAGATACTTCGCTAGCACAACTTGAAGCCGCTTCATTACCTCTCAGTGGTGTTACCTCTGAACTGCCGCCCACTGTTTCTCTTCCACTTTTGAATAATACTGACCTCGAACCAGGTTCCGTTACCATAGATCCACTCCCCCCACCTCTTCCTCCAACACCACCTCCCC